TGCCCACATATGTCAGAGGCATTTCCCATATCTGACATTTAACACATATCAAGAGGTAACCACGTTAGTCAAAATCAATGAACTCGTTTGTAAAGTTGCATTCATTTTGTCAGATTCTTTTTATTTAGAGTCTCTTGGAAGCAATTCAAAAAAGTGTATCTATTACTAGTATAAACGAAATTGTTCATGTAATATGAGAACATTTGTATGTCATATGGAGCCCAAGGATAGGAAAATGGCTGACATTTATTAATAACTTGATCTAATAGTTTAAATTATATCAGTATTCCTTCTGCTTACTTCTTGCTTCTCTGTAATTAGCTGTACTAGTCCCTTTTGCTGAAAACTGGCTTTCTCTGCATGGAAGAGAATGTCATATAAAAGGCAAACAACATAAAAAAAGGCTTCATAGTTTGGTTTACTCAAGAAATAGATTTTTTATTTTTCTTCCTCCCTTATAGTTTCAAAAATCTTGCCTAGATGTATATAAAGACAAGTCTTGAAGCTTCTGATTAAAAGAAGATTTTGTTCTAGATTTTTCATAAATCTCTTTCCAGTTAATGGAAATAAGCATATTAAAGAAGGACACTAGAATCTGCTGAGCCACCACTTTGATTTCGGCATCCAGTTGAAGAGGATATCCAAAAGGAAGAGAGTATATGGCCAGATGTGGTGGCTCATGCCTGTACTCCCAGCACTTTGAAGGCCAAGGCGGGTGGATCACATGAGGTCAGGAGTTTAAAACTAGCCTGGCCAACATGGCAAAACCGCATCTCTACTAAAAATACAAAAATTAGCCGAGCCTGGTGGCAGGTACCTGTAATTCCAGCTACTTGGGAGGCTGAGGCAGGAGAATCACTTAAACCTGGAAGGCGAAGGTTGCAGTGAGCTGAGATTGTACCACTGCACTCCAGCCTGGGTGACAGAGTGAGACCCCATCTCAAAAAAAAAAAAAAAAAAAAAGGTGGTGTATATGGCAGCACAGTGTGAAGTGTGGAGAAAATACTTGGTGGGAACTATCAAAGCAACTGGATAGTTGGTTTTTAAGACTCAGACACAAACTAGATTAAACTAGTTATAGCCTCTCTTGACTGTAAAAGTGAACAAAGAATCAGGAGCCAGATGAGCTAAAGGAAGGTTTGGAATTACCAACTGGTGAGAAGAGCGCACTCATGGGCCATGTTTGGAATTCAACTACACTCTGTATAGTCTGGGGTGGGCTGTGAAGGTCCTGAAGCAGGGCAGTGGGAGAGTCTTCAGAGAGCCTGGTATAGCAGCACAGTGGGGTAGTGTGTCATTCAGAAGAACCTACTGTGGCATCTCTTTGGCAGTCACACCAGAGCGTTACCAATGTCAGATGTATGTGATATATGTTTATTTTGATACAACCTTGTTTGTTCATACATTTTTAATGACTTTTAGAGAGGTAGGTATTAACTGTGGCTTCTGGATCCTTTTGGCACCAAGAAGGAAAAATAAACTTTCCATATAACATAGATTCCACATAACATAGATCTTGTCCTTCAAGTTCTTGTCCTCTACTTCAAGTGGAGTCCATTCACAGACTCCACATCCTAGAGTTATGAAATTATTATTATTTTATTAAAGCTGAATTTAGTAAAGTAATAGTGACTAAACAAAGAAAGAAAGTGATACTGGATATTGGAAAAGTAGTCACAGTCTTGTTGATATCATGAGATTTTGGGGTTCTGGTTATCTTAGAAGTGCTTTACAAAGCTCGCAAAGATATATTATTTTCCTTTATACCTACTTCTATACTTTATCACTACATTTAGTTAATAAATTCTAAGTATTTCTCAATATTCTTTGAGCTCCTTCTATATACCCAAGTGCTGTGGAGAATTCTAGAAAAGTATACAGTACTTGTCAATTTTTAGACATATAGTCGTCTTGGAAGGACTAAATTTACATTAAAAAATGAAAAATAGCAACATAAACATACAAAAGTTTTAAATGGCATTGTATAGGAAATGGATTTATGTATAAAATTTATTCCCATAACACATTATTATAATCTATAAGGAAAAAAAGCAAAGATGGGATGAAAGCCTCAAATCAAATTAATACATATTTATTAATCAAAACTACACTAGAAAATATGGGGAAATGCAGGAATTGCATGTGATATTCAGAGAGTTTTCAGTCTAGTCTTGGACATGAGGCACACTTTCGTGAGTCATGGAAACCAAACAGAAAGCATAGGAGAGATGTCATCAAAACTAAAAACCTTTTTAAAAATACATACTAAGGCTTCACTAGACTGTGTTCAGCATCTAACCTGCAGTATCCTTAGGCATCTTTTGCCTTCAGGGTGGTCTTTGCTTTGTCTAATTCTTATATGGTACTCTAGTATAGAGCTCACATATCACTGCAAACTCATGATAGAACCACCTAGATCCTGGGATTTTGAAGCAGCTTAGTGGGGAAAAATGAATTTTGAGGTCAGAAAAAAACAGTATTCAAATGTTAAATCTCATTTTCACTGAGCCTCATTTTCCTTATATATAACATAGAAATAGTGATAATAATGCCTCATCAATATGGTTTTGTGGAGATTAAATGAAGACATATATGCTTATGTATATATTTAATAAATGGTAATACATACTTAATAATCAGTAATTATTGTTATTATTGCTTTTGACATGAGCTGTTTTAGAACCACAATCTAAACAGGCATCTTATTAGTGCAATTGCAGCCACTAACATAGCATTGAGATCTCTGCAGTGGAAACAGTTTACAAGCCATTCATTAATATATATTTACAATAGTCTATCTTAAGAGACACTTACTACTAATAATATTTAACATTAATTCTGAAATTTGCAGTTTACAAAGCACTTTCAACTATATCACCTCATTTGATCTTCAACCATTTTGGAAAGTTGTTACTGCTATTTCCAATCTATAGGGAAGGAAAATTAGTCAGAGAGGGTTAGTGGACTTGCCCTAAGATCACACCACTAGAAAGTCACTAAACCCCCAAATCATACAATCAGAAAGTTGCTAAACCAACCTTGAGCCCATGTCTTCTGACTGTAAACCTCGTACCTTTTTCTCTTCTCTACAGGCCTCTTATTTTTTTTTTTTTTTAGTAAGATCCAGTGAAAAATGCCTTTCTCCAGAGTCTTTATTTACCCACAAGATACATCCCATTGAGAATCATGAAAATATTATGACTAACTAGTTGATCCATTATACAGATATGTATGCCAAGGTTATGTTTTCCACACCCAGTGTTTTTGGTAAAGACATGAATTTTGTTTTGTAAAACCTGCTGGATTGCTATTTGTTTTATCATTTGATTAGGATCCCATAGAACAGATTGGCATTAAAAAGCTGTTAACTCTGTTAACTCCAGAGGGCACAACTAATGAAATATCCCAAAATTTGAGCACTTTCCAAAACCACCATGTCGTATAGAAGAACTCTGTATTAATCAGGATGAAAGTATGTCTTTTATCTAAATGAAATCTATAATTTGAGACAAAGATTAAAGATCCTTTGGGGGATAAAGCAAAAGTTGCTGTGAAAATTCTAGAAACTGAAAAGTAAAGATAGCTCTACTCAATATTCATGAAGTTAGATTGGTGATGCAAATAGAGATTGCAATCTCTTATTTTCTAATGATTTGGCTTGTACCACTCCTATATCAGTATTACGCAGATTCCCACTAAACTTTAAAGAGAATTACTGCAAATCGTACAGTTTTTTTTAAAAAAAAGAAAGTTGAAACTATCCAATATGATTTTCTCTCATATTTGACTGTTAATGTTCTATTTAGGGATTTCTAAGGTTTATGATTAGAGGTGCATAAATAATAAAATACAGCAAGGCATGGTGGCTCACGCCTGTAATCCCAGCACTTTGGGAGGCCGAGGTGGGCGAATTACGAGGCCAGGAGTTCGAGACCAGCCTGGTCAATACGGTGAAACCCCGTCTCGGCTAAAAGTACAAAAGTAACCTGAGCACAGTGGCGCATGCCTGTAGTCCTAGCTACTCAGGAGGATGAGACAGAAGAATTGCTTGAACCTGGGAGGCAGAGGTTGCAGTGAGCCGAGATCGCACCACTGCACACTCCAGCATGGGCAACAGAGGAAGAATTCATCTCAAAAAAAAAAAAAAAAAGAAAAGAAAATACAAGATACAGCATATATATTATGTAAACATAGATGTTGATAATGAAGCCTTTTTGTATTGAATATAGCATACTCTCAAAAGGCAGTTTGAAGAAAATAACTATGAATATTGGTTTAGGTTTAATTTTGCTTCCTTGAGAGAGAAATCAAATTCTTTTAGCAAAGTCATTTCATAAAGAAATGATACAGGTCAAGTGAGATAGCTCATGCCTGTAATCCGAGCACTTTGGGAGTCCAGGGCAGGTAGATCACAAGGTCAGGAAATCAAGACCATCCTGGTCAACATGGGAAACCCCGTCTCTACTAAAAGTACAAAAGTTAGCCAGCTGTGGCGGTGCGTGCCTGTAATCTCAGCTATTTGGGAGGCTGAGGCAGGAGAATTGCTTGAACCCAGGAGGCAGAGGCTGCAGTGAGCCGAGATCATGCCACTGCACTCTAGCCTGGGTGACAGAGCCAGAGCGAGACTCTTATTTCAAAAAAAAAAAAAGAAAGAAAGAAAATACAAGCTTTAACTCTCACCTAATTTATTAGAAATCCTTGCTTTATACATAGTAGAAATCCTCACCTCCTACACTGTTTTGTAGAATGTAAGAGAAAATGAATGTAAATTCTATGAATGCTTGCTTTATTTCTTTATGTGGTAAATGTAACAAATATTTGAGGTGGGGGAAGGTACAGGAAATCTTAGTCATTTTATTTATCCCACTAACACTTGACACAGTGCCTGTACAGGTCCTCAAGAAATGCCTGTTGAGCTCTTTGTTAAATAAGTTAAGCTAAATAATCTGTCTCAGAATACATTATTCATTATTTAATTTTTTTTCTATTTCTTTTTTCAGGCCAGTCCTGCTCCTATAATTGTCAACACAGATACTTTGGACACAATTCCTTATGTAAGTAACTTTTTCATTAATACCTTCTTTTAAAACTGTGGTAGAACTTAATTGGCTGAATTTAAATTCAATTGATATTTAGTTTCACCCAAACGAAATAATCTTATGGAATGACATGTAGTTTTGTAAATTTTCTTTTAATAATTTCTAAATCTTGCCTTAGTAATCAAATATTTCCCTCTTTCATTCATGTTTTGTAAAATACAAGGGCCCATCATGAAAAAAAAAATAGACAACGCTATTCAAATAGTGTTAGTTTGCTAAGTGGCTCACTGAAAAGAGACTGAATTGCTCATAGACGCGAACAAACTTCTTTGGGTTTCTTATGAAAGGAATATTGAAGTCAATTTCTATGACAGAGTCTGGAACCTAGAGTAAGTAATCAATAAATATTTTTGTGGATTTTGTTGGTCTTCTAATGAGAAGTGGACAAAAGTTTTGTAAGGGTAGAGCCTACCTATATATAACGAAAGTTATGGTTTTATAAAAGCATGGAGCATGAGATACTAGGATCAAGCAAATCAATGAAGCCTAGGATTCTGTACCTGTAACACAACCACTATAATGGCGAAAGTTCTTGAAGACAGAGTCTGGCTAGGCAGGGAAGATTGGAGACCAGCTATAGGCCACAATGTGGGTGAGTGGTTGACATTACGGAGGTCCAACAAGGCTTTGTGAGTAGGCTGTAGCTGATGAGTGGAGGATAGTGATCAAAGAAGATGGGACAGCCACAGATGCATGCTAGACAGGTCTATGAAGCTGAGAAGAAGGGCTGCCGGGGTAATGGACAAGAACAAACAGATTCCTTCCCTTTGATTAAATGCGTAAAGCACATAAAGCACTTAGAACAGTACCTAGCACAAAGTAAGTGCTTGGTAAGTACTGGCTCTTCGCAGTTTTAGCCCACAGCCTCAAATCCCTTCAATGACCAACCAAATCACAGAAACAAATGGAGCAGTCAGAGTAGGGACTGTGGGGAATAGAAAGCACATGGCCATTTAAAGAGAGCAACTGCCACTTGGAACCTACTGGTGCCAGATCATTTTACAAAATAAGATGGAAATTTGTACATGTTTGCAATTTCTAAATACAGGCAACTAATTTTCAAAAGTGCAAACACTGTGTCTGCCAAACAAAGTGTGTCTAGTCCATAGGCTGCCTTTTGAGAGATGTTACCTCAAAGGAACTGGCAGTCCTGAGCAGGTTCTGCAATCCGGGACTCAGTCATAGGGGAGCAGAATGTCAGAACTAGAGAACAAGGTTGGGACTTGATGATAAGAATGAGGAACTAAAACTGGGACACAGGGTCAGGCCAAGAATAACAGCAAGCTTGACTTAATGCTGAATCACCTGAACTACTGAACTAGGGCTTCTTAAATCTTTCTGCACAAGAATAGTTTGGGACCAGACCGGAAACAAGGTTAAGCTTACTAGAAGGAACCAAGAGGCCCCAACACTGGAAAGTAAAGGGCTCTATAGAAGGAAACAAAGCAATGTCTTAAAGGCACCTATATCCACTATTCTCTCACTCCTCATACCTTTCTTTACTTACCAAACATCTGTAACAGGGTATGCCTAACACTGTTGTAGGCACTTAACAAATTTTAACTCATTTAATCCTCATAACAATCCTTTGAGGTAGGTACTATTAATTTCTCCATTTTACAGATGGGGAAAATGAGTCATAAAGAGGTCAAGTAACTGGTTCAAGGACTCACAGTAAAAGGCAGAGTTGAGTCAATCCAGATAGCCTGGCTGTAGAGTTAGAAATGTTATTTAACTTCTAACATACTGCTATCTATGTTTCTTTCTTCCCTCCCTTGTCTTCTGCCTGTCAGCTTGGGAACATAGTTTCCTTACTTACTCCCCTGATACATGCAGATTTGGATGAGAGATAACTTGTCACAGAAGCTTCAATACATTCAGGATAGGGATCCATATATATATGAAGGAATCTTATGTCCCAAAAAATCTCTTCACTATAACCATTGTCAAAGCATATGAGCAGTGCCCTCAAGAAGCACTGGAGCAGTGCCCTCAAGGCCTGGATCACAGAGTTGATTTTGTAAATAAGACCACTTTCTTGTAGTGGATCTATATTATTTCACATCCTCTTGTTAGGGTTCTGGTGGTGTAACTGCCAGATGCCCTCATGTGGAAATAATTTATCAGTAAGATCTAAGGGTCTTGTGTAGACATGTTCAATTGGTATCCCAATTGATTAGCTAGTAAAATCAGTCACAAATAACAAATTCATCAAATTATTCCCATTCTTCCAAATTACATGTTTGTATCTGACTTTGACTCCTTCAAAAATTATTTTTATTCAACTTTTTTTGTTATTGTTGAGTCAGTCTTGCTCTGTCACCCAGGCTGGAGAACAAATGGCCTGATCTTGGCTCACTGCAACCTCCACCTCCCAGGTTCAAGTGACTCTCTTGCCTCAGCCTCCCGAGTAGCTGGGACTACAGGAGTACACCACCATGCCCTGCTAATTTTTTTTTTTTTATTTTTTATTTTTTGTATTTTTTAGTAGAGACAGGTTTTCGCCATGTTGGACAGGCTGATCTTGAACTTCTGATCTCAGTGATCTGCCAGCCTCAGCCTCCCAAAGTGCTGAGATTACAGGTGTGACCTACTGTGCCTGGCCTAATCAACTTTTGCATACTTAATGGGACCCACTTTGTGCTTCCTTAAGGGTAACGATCTTTATAGTGGTTTGTGAGCAGCTTGATATGATGAAAATGTCCCAATTATCATGGTAGTACGTTCTTAAGTAATGTATTTAATCTCTATGCACCTAAATTAACCTATAAGACAGGACTTATGATACCTGCCTCAGAGATTTTCTTAGCTTCTGGTTGATAGCAGCTAAAGTATTTATCATTTTTTTGAAAAAAATAAACACTTATGAGGTAAAACATGCTAAATTCTAGGAGAATGGTAAATACGAACACCTTCCCCGATGTAGAAAAAACACGCATACATTATGTATTGAAAATGGCAGATTTAGTGCATACTCATTAATGTGGATAAGCTTTGGTTCTTGGCAGAGCTCCAACTCTCCCCTTTGTTCCTGACTCACTGGGTAACCTTGAACAAATTACTGTTCCTTTCACAGTCTATTTTCTCATTCCCCAGTGTTCTATACTTTGTTTTCCTCTTTTCTTCCTCGTGTTCTAGTTGTTCATATAATTTCAGCTCTATTTAATGAAAAAACTATTTCAGAGTTCCCTAGGGCATTTTAGGCATGTTGCGTAAGAACTTTTCCCTCTTAAAAATATTATCAGAATGCCAAGGTGTAACAGATATTAAAGTCTTTATAAAAAATAATTTCATTGCAAGTAAATGTATTCATTTGACTGATTAGCAAATTTGATTTCTGATAGAAATGGTTTCTGTGGAAGTGGTTCCTTGGCACAAATGCAAATGACAATTGAATAGCTGCAGGAAATTTCTAGGGTCAAAGGGAATTCTTATGTAAGTGTCAAACAAAATACAAAATATATTTAAAGAGACTTCTTTGTATTAAGGAAGATAAGTTGAAAGACATTAGAGCTTGCATTTATGAAGGGGTCACTGAGGTTCTTACACAAAAATGCCTTAAGTAAGCTGTGTCTTATATGAGGTCATGATATATCAGGGTTGGGTATAACCTTAAATGTGGTATAGTCTAGCTTCTCATGCAAAGCAGGAATCCCTATATGAAAATTAAAATCACCCAAGCAGAAACAAGGAGAGAGAGAAAAATTATTTTTCCATTTCAATACTCTCTAGTTTCTATTTTTTGCTCAATATTTTTATTCTTCCCCATTACATGTTGAAAATTGTTTCATGCCAGGTACTGAAAATATTTGTTCTTAGGGAGCTCAGAGTGATCAGAGCCTGCTTGTGAATCCAACTCCCTGAAGGTTGACTCAATCAAATAATAATGCTTTACTCTCTGGTACTCTGCAACCAACTGACATTGCGCTCTCCTCTCCTTTCAGTAGACACTTTAGAGTTCAGTATTGAACAGCACCCTGACAAATAGTATTCTTTGTGCTTTAGAAAATAAAATTAATCAGAGAGATTCCAGAATCCTTTTTTATTTTGCTCTAACCTTCTCTAATATTCATTTTGTATTTTGGTAATATTCTGACCTCTTTTATACAAATGCACTGTTGAGAGAGGTATACTTGAGAATCATGCGTTTTAAATCTGTTAAATAACTTGGAGTTCAATCAACACACACCTTTCATTTTAAAAATATAGATTTTCTATCTCAACTAGTAAATGATAGTGCTTGAGCTACCATTTACTATTACCTCATGTAGTTGCCAATTTTTGGTGTGTAACCACAACCAAAAAAAATCAGTGGCAATAAGCATTTTTTTCTTCTCTATTTATCAGTTAGCTAGGACAGTTGCTTCAGGCTGCAGAATACAGTATTCTCACCTTATCCATTGTATCAGGAGACTTGATACATTCCAAGTCCCCTGATGGATGCCTGAAGCTGCAGATAATGCCAAACCCTATATACATGAATTTTCCATCTTAACTATCAGGCACTGTGGCCATAACTTTTGCAGTTTGGGGTACAACAGCAAAACTAGCATGATTCTATTTTTCCTTCTTCACAAGTTCATGGATGAAAGAGTCATTTTTACTGTAGATCTTAGCAACTTCAGCATACAGTATTTTCTCCTCTTTTTTTTCTTAAGTCAGGAATTTTCATGTTTTCCCTTAAAGGAAGCTTTTTAGGGCTTCTCTTAAGCATATCTGAATTGTCAGCATCACTATTCTTGTGCTTTGGGGCCATTATTAAGTAAAATAAGAGTTACTTGAACACAAAAACTACCATACAAGGATAGTCAGTTTGATCACCCAGACAGCTACTAAGTGAATAAAGGGCAGGTAACATCTGCAGCGCAGATACCCTAAACAGAGAAATGACTCACATCCTGGAAGAGATAGAGTGGGACAATGAGAGATTTCATCACACTACTCAGAACAGCAAG